TGTGTGTGAGTTGTTGGTTGTACATTGTTGGTTCGGAGAATCAGGTGTGATCAAAGGTGTTTCAACGGAGGGACAAGATCGACGTTCGTTGTGGAGGGCTGGCTGATGCACCGCGGCGGCGGTGTCGCCGGGAGCGGTGCTGGTGGAGCCGCTGGTATCGGTGGTGGATCGGGCGGAAGTGGCGCGTTACCCTCCACGAGCCACCGCGGCCTCGAACTGGAACATCCGTCGGCGATGCCCGGTGCACCGGGTTTCCATTGGGGGGCTATGCTCGCCGGCCACCATGCGGCCGCCGCGGCGAGCATGATGCAGCCACCCCTGTCCGCGGCTGCTGAGTACACCCCCGCGCCGGCACACCATGGGCCCACGCATCCCGCCATGCCCATGGACCTTCACGTTCATCAAGGATTCCCTTACTACAGGTCCGTTCCTTTTTTATAAACGATCTTCTTATTCCGGGGGGGGTCTAGCTAAAATTCCTCTTTCTCCTTTTTTTTTCATTCCTTTTTTTCAGTCCGATTATTCTTCGATCGTTTACCGATCCATCGTTTTCCCTTTCTCCTTTTTTTGTTTTTTAAAGGATCGATGCTTTAAACGATCGAGTTCCTTGTTTCCATATTCGATGCAGCGAGGAAGAGTGGACAGGTAGACAGTGTCAGCCTTCGAAATTTACCTTGTAAATATTTCTCTGCCAAACGAATACTCCCATGTTTACCCATTTCGAGCAAACACGTTGCTTAAATACCCGAGACTGTCCCTTAGTTCCTATTAGACGAACGATCGAGTTCGTTGACGTTTCTCTGATAGCTATGAACCTCGAATGTCTTTTACATTCTACCTCGCGATTCCCTTGATCCTTTTTTCAAAACCGGCAAGTTATTAGACATTCGCTTGGAACGTTGCTATGTTATTTCCTCTTATCGTTCATCGCGTAATTAAGCCATTCGGAAAATGTCAGAAGTATATGATTACGCTTCGATGATTCTACTTGTTATTACTAAACACGTATCCAAAAAAAGTTTTTGAAATTTTACGATTAACTAACTCGTTCTCCGTAAATATACCCCATGTTTAGGTATCTTAGGTATTTTCGACACCTAAACATTTGAAATTGAACATAATAAGCAAATTTTAACAATGCCGAATATTTCACGATCGAAAATTTAAACATGCTGAAACTCGTTCAAAAAATCCACAACTATCGATCATAATCGCGCAAAAATATCATCACCCGGCGCGAATAATTAGGCACGTTTGTTATCCCCTTCACGTGCGCGCAATAAATAATTCCCGAAGATCGGCAAACGTTACGGCAAACTGAATAATTTATGAGGCAGGATACAATAATTAAATGACCAATAGTTGGTTATGTAGTTCGATGCGTAACCATCCTCTTATCTCTGTTCAACTCCCTCCCACCCCCGTGTAACGAAACATAGACCGCATAAAGTAACTCCTCGTTCGGTTCAAGCGTGATTACGGGAAATAATATGTCGCTTGTTCGTGCGAAATTACGGGAAACATGCGAGCCAATCTGTGTCTAAGGGTTTTATTTCGCGGTTTCGTTGTATACGCACACTCGGTGTACCCTAGGCCGAGCATGCTCGACACGTAGGAAGTTTTAATGTAATTTGGCACGCGGCGGGCGAATATAGCCTGCACGAACGAGCTTGCTGGCAGAAATGACGGAAACACCGAGATTTCATCGAGCCCTTTTTTTATTATTTTTTCGTCCCTTTCCTCCTTTTGGCTCATTTGTTTTCGCTTGGGTCGAGTTTTCACGCTGGTTAGGGAACGATTAAACTAATAGCACGCTTCTAGGACGAGGTTTTGCGATTACCATGAGATGGAACTTGACGCTCGTTGATGCGGAGTAATTTGTCGGGGTGATTGGAGATGTGATAGAAATAGCTCGAATTGTGTCCGAGTTTGTCTTATTATTCAGAGATTTTTTTAGAAATATGGTATTTTATATTGAATTCGTAATAACGCGTAGATATTCGAGTATTAAGATAAAATAATATGATAACGAAATCAAGAGATTTTATTTTAGGAGAATTGAAATGGAAATTTTCGTTTCATTTGTTTTATTGTATTTACAGTTTCATTTCCATTTATAATCTATTAATAAATATGAAAGAATCATTCGAACTAAAGAAACGTTTGATTTCAAATTCGTTTTAAATTGAATTCCGTTTTGCTAAATAAATTCCAATATATGAAATATTAAAATACGGTAAATATTAAAAATATCTTTTTTTTTTTGAAAAAAAAAATCTCGAGCTCGTAATTTACGCATAACGTACCGACACGTGGAACATTCAAGGAAGTAGAAATAGTTTATGGTCATTCGTGAAACGTGCGTGAAGTTTTGAAATTTTTGGGATCGGCGGCTATAAATGTCATAACTGGTTCGCGCTGATAACACAACGCTCGCGGCGAAACCAGTTCGCTATACATTCGTGTCTCTCTCGTATAATATTTATAAAGCCGATTTCTTTCCACGGTGTGTATGTATAACCGGGTTGTGCCGCGCGTTAATAAACTTCAGCTACGGACAAGTTTATCTCGTGCTAAGCGATTCTATCGACTCGAATGTTTATCGTGACTCGCGTCGCGTATACGTACTATACGTGTGAGGATTCAATTAGTTATGACAACTTTGGATTCGAAGCGCGGACGTGAGTGGAAATGGAGCGAAGGAAGATTGCTCCGTGTATTTTCTGATTGTGTCTTTTGATGGTAGTTTGCTATGTTTAATCTTTTCACGCTTTGGTTATGGTACTCTGGAGAGATAAAAGCGTCTCTGATAATGTATAAAAATGTTTTATGTTGCGATTTTAATAATTTAATAATAAAATAAGGAAAAAAAGCTAGAAGAAAGATTAAAAGCATTATATAAAAAGTATTATGAGAAAAAGATTTCTATTGTAATTAATGATTGTTAATACATAATTTTCTTTCATCGTTTCCAACTAAATATTCGTATTTTTAATAAAATGATTAATATAGCAATTTTGTTTGCAATTACAGTATTTATGCATAACGAAAAAGAGATATTCAAACATAGAAGAAATCACTTTATATCGTAGTAAGTTAATTGCTTGACGAATACATTTTGAGGTTAGAATGACGTCATATCGTCAAGAAATATAATTAACTAATAATTATCTTCAAATAATCTAATAAATTTAATCATAGAGAAAAATAGATATCTGAACATGAAATCTGAATCAAAAGTCTTACCTCAAACTTCTCGAATTCTTCGAATTCCATAATCAATATCCAAAATGTTCATACAAGTACAACAACTAGTACTCACGACACAATCTTAACATATCGTAAAGAAATGAACTCCGGTGCGAAATATTCTATGACGCGACCTAAGATTCAATTTTTCCATTCTTAATAAACACTTACACGAATGTCAGAATCGAACCAAACAATTTTCTAAATTGGAACGAAACACACGAAAACGATATCGAGATTTACCGATTCTTGTTCAGTGGCGGCAATTACATTTTTCGATGCGTTTGCGCACATGCGCGCGCACACACGACAGCGATTCTGCGTCGCGCAACCTACAATATTATTTCACATGGGACGCGTGTTCCGTAATTTACGCGGTTCGATATACGATTCCGTATAATTGACAAGACGATCGATGGATCTGATGCAGAGATCTAATCGAGATAACCGCCTCGATACGATCTTTTTTTTTTCTTTTGTCCTTCTTCTCATTCTTCTGCTTCTCCTCCCGGTTTCTGCCCCTTCGCTTTTCGAGGAAGCCTTTCGAAAAGCGACCACGGTTGTTCTTTGTTAATCGTCGCGATGGCGTGGCAGTGAGCGTACACTCGTTCATCGGTTCCACTCGTGTACTATAATTATTCACACTCCATAATGCAGTATACGGCGATACGTAATCCCGGACAGGATTTGAAAAGGAAGTATACGAACTGTTCGTGTAATTATACACTCGCCGTGGCTTAATCTTCTAGCAAATTGTATTAAGATTTTTTACAAATTTTCACACGTTGCGCCGTAAATCTATTCGACGGTAGAATGGGATACGTGTACGGTAAATGGACTTCGTTCGTTTTCAATAGAAATTCTCGATTAATCGTTCCTGTACATCATTTGTCTTCTCATGTTTTCATTTCCGTTTTTCTCGTTGTTTTTCTTCTTCTTCTCTGTTTATTCTTTTATTTAATGGGAGGAAATGTTTATATAATTTCGAATGTCAAAACGATTGAATAATATGATGCGTATGACTAAATATAAGAGAAAATAATTATAATTGTTTTTTTTGTTTATAAAATTATGAATTTAAATTTCAACATTCTCTATTCATTAATAAAATAAAATAAAAAGCTTCAATCTTTTAATAACAAGAAAATGAAATTATTCTTAGAAATCACAATTAAAATTCTAACCTTTAATTCTGTTTAGTTCCAGACAAAAAAATATGTACAATATCGTTTAATTATAGGAAAACTATTTATTTGTGTTCAGTTCTCTTTTATCTTATCTCTCCATCGAATCTTTATAATATGAACGTAATAGATGCTATATATCTATCAATATAAATTGAATAACTCTGAAAATAGCCATCCTCCAGGATTATCTTTAAAATGTTTCATAAATTTTAAACTTCCTTTTCAAGCAGTTTCGAAATAAAATCTAAATTCTAAATTTGCAATTCTAAATTTAATCCGCAGAATTCTTTCCAAAATAACTTTATTCTGAAACGATTCAGTGACAAATATTACAATAGCTGTTTTCTAAATTAAATAAATCATATAATTCAAGTTTTAAATCTTATTGCATATCAATTATGCCACGAAAAACTATCCTTTCATTTATTTTCATTCATCCAGATTTCCTGAACCAATTAATTAAAATCGGCGTGATAAGCTGACAAAATTGATCGTCTGTGACACGTTTATAACAACAGCGAACGAAGGCAAGAAGCGGTATACGCAAGAAACTTATTATAATCCATGGCTCGTCCAAGTTATTAGCATTCCGCTATCAATTATCCAGCAGCCCAGGCGCTCGAAATAACGAGCGTGGCTCCTTTCTCCTCCGCTCTCTGCTGACCACCATGCTTCTCCTTTTTTTTTCATCGATGCAATAATCGTGTTGTTTAATCTCTCGAAACGTGATACGGATCGCTAAAAAAAGAAAATAACTACAAAATATTTATCAAATATCAATTTTTACCATTCGTTCAAAAATATAGTGAAACCAAAACTTTATCAAATCGAAAACCTTGAAAATTTGCCAAACAACTGGTCTTCAAAAAATTCAGACACGATTTAACTTGTACAAATCAACTCTATATAACAGCCGAGAATTAACGATTGCTAAATCCATGGTGGAACAATCCCTAAAACACGTCTATTTCACCTGATTCGAGGTAAAGCGTCTTCAGAGAACTCGGACAACATTTGCCTTTTCCGTTGTGTACTCCTCGGCCCGATGTTTGACGGATAGATTGAAGTGGTGCTCCAAGTATAATGTCACAGAAGTTGCCCGGTGAAAAGAAGCCTCGTACGAGACGTACGAGAACGAGAGTACGAGAGGTGGACGAGATGTGTTGACCTAGCGGTGCGTCGAGCACCACTTGTTGCCGTGTCGTCGCTCGAGTACTTCTGTCAGTATACTCGAAGCTGCCGCTACTCAAGACGGCCTCGAACCTTTATTGACAGATGCAATCGTCCGGTATTTGCATTAGATTAAACAGTTCCGATAATCGTTGCTGCTCGTGCTCGTCCTAATTGGATTTATCGTGTCTCGTGTACGCACGCGTACAGTATCACTGTTTTGAGCACAGCTGGCCCAAATGATTGGAATCATTCGAAGTATATCTGAAAATTTGAATTGGATAAAAATCTCGTTACGTTGATTTATCGTTTCGACTGAGTGATCGTCGAGACGAGGAATTTGGAAAAATTTTGCAATTTGGAAAATTTCGATGGAGGTTGTTGAAAACTTGGAGTATTTCAATTTTTTTAAAAATGTCTAAAAATTTAGAAAGCTCTTAGAATGTTTGAATATTGAAATCTTCGAATGTTTGCGTGTTTAAATCTTCGAATATTCCCACATTTAAATATTTAAGTTTTAAATATTTGAAAACTTAAATACCTGAATTTTTTCCTTTTCTTTCGAACGTTCGAATAAATGAATTATCATATAAGTTACGCACATTAATTGAAAGTGAACGCAATCAGTAGAATTAGTAACTACGCTAACAGATAGTACTTTAGATAGACACCTCGTTTAGACTTCAGGTTATTTAACATGTTGCGAGTGAGAAATAGTGCGATTAAGTATCAGAAGGAGTATTATTATAGTCCATTCGAGATCGTTAATCATCGTTCTAGTTGTGCTGGTGGTAAGATGTAAGTAGGTCAAGATATGATGAAGTTCGTTAAAGTTAATTGTAATATCCTAATGTAGAGCCCTTTAAGACTGTGCTGTAATCTTTAATAATCTAGCACAATGTAAAAATTCTTCTTTACAAAATTTAAAAGAATACACGCAATGATCGTAGAATACTTCTTCTATTTATTTTAAAATTATACAATTCAATGAAACTTATATATACCGTCTTTGATCAAAAATTATTGATATTAAAGCTCTTACTTGCCTCTTTTCTACGTTCTCGAGGATTTAAGAGTACATCTAAAGTTACACTCGTCCGACACTTCATTGTCGTAGAAACATGTAGCGCTACTGACCGACTTGACAGGTTACTTTCCACTGAAAACTCCAGTAGACCGGGTTTCTTTGATCTTATCGATAATGATGTTACTCAGAAGCGTGGCCGGATGTCGAAATGTGCCGCAGTTGTAATGTAAGCTGTACATTTTAAATAAATTCGATTAAGCAACGAGAAAAACAACCATGTCTCATTCTATATTATCGTAATTGCTTTAACGAGTAATTGAAAAGATATTATTCGAGATAAGCATTCTGTTAAGTATTTAATATTAAATATATTAAATAAATAATGTAATTTTAAAGATCTTTTAAATATTTTTAACAGAAATTATAAAATTTTCTTACCGGTATTACCGATTATAAATTTTATTTAATAAAACGCTTAATTGTCATATCGTGATTCCGCGAAATCGTTCGTTAGCTGTTTTCACGAAATTTGTCGAAAAGCTACGCGAGCGAGAACCGGTTACACACGTGCCGACAGTGGCAAAATGATAAATACGAAGGATTTAATCAGTATTATAAATCACGCGTGTGCACGCGTGATATTGAATCCGCAATAAGAGAGAATGACCGCAAAACCATCGTCGCTTTGTTCGAATGAAAATTAATCGCTCTGTTCGTCCTTTGCATCTTATACGAACAACGATATTTATTAAAATTAATAAAGTTACCAATTTAAAAAAAAAACTCCTATACTGTATGGTAAAATAATTATAAATATCTTTTCAATATAAAATGTAGGCATTATTAAAGAAAAATTGGAAATAACAAATAGCAGAAATAACGATTAATAGCTACGTGATTAAAATTATTTTAATTTTATCATCTAATCGATTATACTCGAAGAATATCTCATGAACGTATGATGTGTTTAATTATTAAATGCAAATTAAGATAGGAAATGTAAATTGTAATCCGACGTATATAATTCCAACGTCAATCGCGCCTTAGTATTGTCAGTCGAGTCTGGCCGACTTAAATTGCAGATCTTCGGTGTGTATATACGGGTCTTCTGACAGTTTGTCTGGAGATTGACGAACAAACCAGAGATGGTTTGGTTTAATATCTTTGCGATGCATCATCGAGCTTGAAGTTCTTTCTTGATACGTATAAGAAACTTAACGGTAAGGTGCCGCTAATTAATGTTCGTCTCACGAAGCGATGATACGTTTTACGATCCTCAAGGTCTGTATTATGTTACTTTTTAACTGTCCTTTCTATGGTATCTAAAATTTTTAAAATAACACATTATATTAATCGAAATTAAAATTCGAAATCGAATCGATATGATAGAAAATATAATAATAAGATAATATAAGAATAATAAAAGAATAATTACTTTCCAAGTTTCGAATTCCTCATTTCTTGTTATTCTGCAAAGCATCGATGCATTGAAAATGCATTTTTCAGTTTTCAAAAAATTTTTCCACGTCTCACGTATATGCTATCAAACGCATCAACGATTTCTAATTTTCAATCGTCGCTGCATACTGTCGCAGCCAGTTGAAAGAAACTGGTGCACGATTATCAGTCGCACGACGACACACATGGACAGTGTGCGCGCGGGAGAGACACGGTCGCACAGGCATTGAGAGCGTTATTGAATGATGGCTCGTCCAACTGCTAATGGGGCCGGACGCTCGCGCGACACACCGTCCAGAGAAAGAGAAAAAGAATCGTACCGTGGAAAAAGAGCGGACGAACGAGCGTAGTCTGGTGCGCGAGAGAAAGGAAGAAGGGACGAGGAAAAAAGGGGTTGTCTCGTAAGAAGCGCGCGTCTCTTGTGCCGTTGTTGCTGTTGCACCGATGCACAACCGATGGATGCATTCTTCCGCCGTTCCCCGAACCATTGCACGGTGGAGGAGAACCGAACAGACTCGGACCTGGCCTCGCCTGGACCTTCTCCTCGCCTCCTCCTCTTTCGTTCCCGCGTGTGTCGAACGATAGCTCGCGAGACTTCGAAGGCGTAGCCAGGCTGGCTGCTGACCAACCGATAAATAAAATAACTCGGTTGCGTTTTTATCGAGTCGATGCTTGCCATCTTCCTCCTGTTCCATCTCTCTTTCGAGGATCTAGACTTTTGGAGCATGCGTGCACGTTTCGGCTATAAGACAATTTCTGCGTCACGAATGTGTTATGAATTAAATTGCGTTAATTACGATATAATTTAATCTTTTGCGATTACGATATTCACAGTTTAGTTCGAAATGTAATTTTAATTTCAATTCTCTGGGCCGAGAACTATTAAATGCAAATTACTTACGATATGTTTTAATGCGAGGCTTCCGATATATAAAAGATGTCCGTTCAGAAATTATATCCCGAAGCGACGTTTCGCCAGGAGTCGAATGATATGTACCGATATTTAAGCCTGAGAGGCGGACATCTAAAATTCACGATATATATTTCTTATACAATATTACAGTGATAAATAATCTACGCTCGTTTAAGTAAATAATTAATATAAAAATTGTTAAACCTACCCTTTCTTTTTTCCAAATTTTTCATTTTATTTCTCATTCTATACACCCTTCTTTCAATCCACTACTTCTTTCCATTTTACCAACTTCTTCACACCTCATCCCCTATCCTTTTTGTACCCCTTTCCAATCTCCTCCTCCAATATCCACCTTTTTTCTACCTTTCTCTTCTTTTTCTTTCACACACCCTCCACTCCATCTCTCCAACCAATTTCCCTTTTCCACTCTCTCCACCCTAACCGCCGATACACCCCGCCGGTTCGTTCCTCTCGGAGTGGT